AAATATCACAAAGCCTGCCATTTGAAATAATAATAATAATACGTTCAGTTAGTAAGTCAATTACGACAATAACTTGGTTTGTAGATATAAATTTTAATAAACCTTCCTTAATTCCAGCACGTTTTATGTTATAAAATTTTAATAAAGAATAGAGTAGGGGCTGTTTTTTATCAAAATAGGACATCAATTCGGGTCTTGGTTCGATACACTGCCACAAGCAAATAAACAGCGCATTTCAGACGCTAGACTAAAGTTTGTTGCTTTTGTTTGCATTGAAAGCAGAAAAAAACCAGGGAATTTTTTCATCACCGTTCAAATATTGCCTTAAGGTAAAATCCCAAAATAATTTAAAAATAGTTTTTTATTCTTTTGTGTGTCCTTAGGAGGAGTGAATATGTAGGAGTGTTAGTTGTCTTACTCCAGGTTATTTCATGCGGAAGATACAACGCGTTTTTTAGGGTCATTTAATCACGAAAATTCCTAATAAGTTAAGCCCCTAGAATGATTATTTCTATATTGGAATGGCAGTTTCCAAATCAAATAGATTTTATTATTAATGATAGGTTGATATTCTTATTGATTTTAGTTTATTTTAACTAATTTTATTCAAATCCAATTTCACTTAAATTTAACCGGGAAAGATTTATTCATTAAGTTTCTTCCACTTTACGAATAGATAATGTACTAATGTACTTGAATGTATTTTTCTATTGCCTATTGATTGTACGAAGAAGAAGAATATTTTTAAATACAGGCTTAAATTTTGTGAAAAAATTATCTCTCTACCTCTTAACTTTTGAATTCAATCGATGTAAAATCGGCCTAAATTCTGCGTTTATAGTTGTATGTTATACTCAAATAATTAGCCTGCAAAGAGGATAGTATAGAGGATAGTATAGTATATTATTGTCGGGAGATAATTATCCTCTTTCAAATACACAATACAAATTCAATCATCAATATCCAAAAAACCCCCTTTAAAATAGTTATGCACACACATTTTACTCAGGATATATCAATTGTGTCCAACTAATGCATAAATATGATTAAATTCCAATTATATTTGAGACCTATTAGAAAGTTTACTTTACCTGCTGCTCACAGCTGTGAGACATTCAATCCCATCTGCATATTGTGGACCTGAACGTACCCCGACACCCAGTGACAATGTCACATACCTAATTAGCCTCACAGCAACAAACCAAATCATACTCCCTTAAAGGCAGTGAGTGAAAGAGAGAGAATAAAATGTTAAATTCTTATGAGTCAAATAAAACATGACCCACTTGAGCTGATTTCACCACTTTACACCCCATTTTGTTATTTTATGATGCATGTCAGAGTTTAAACTTGCAAGAGTTGATTCCACTGGTATGGATGATAAATAACAATCATTGTTGACTCAAGAATCACCTTCCTGCCAGATGCGATAAAAAACTACTTTTCTGCCACTGAAAGCATTTCAATTTTAAAGCTGCTCTAATAAGGGGAGAGAGAAAGGATTTTAATAAATTCGACTTTCAGAATTAACTACTACAAGTCAAAAAATGTCTAAATGACAATAAAGGTAGTCACAGTGTCTCCAAGCCCTTCCCCCCTTTAAATTTACTAAAAAAAGTTGAAAGCTACAAATACTTTTATATCCCAAATTCGCCTTACTAGAAACAAAATGTACATAATTGAACTTTTTTTGGTGGATAGATATACCTTCAAATGTCAGCTTTCCTCGGTTGCCAAATGCTCTCTATATACTGAGACTCAAAGGGAAAAAATAGGCAATATGAAGGAACTTCATTAGAGGTCATTGGAAAGCAGTAGTTATTTTGTAACTGCAATGACCTTGCTAAGATTCATTTGAGCATTTTAAATTAATGCCAAATATATGACTGACTTCAGTTAAGGTCCCTGAAATTGGAATTCCTTTCGCCAATCTCCGTTATTGTCTTGGCATAATTACAAGATGCAGATATCCTATATATTATAATACTGTAGATGCATTTATTATTGATTACTGACTTAATTTGTGTCTAATAATCCCCTCGGACTCACAGTCCCGTTATGGCATTAACCGAGCATTCCTTATCACTAGTAGATGAGTACAACAACAGTTGAAGTTAAGGTGGAATTCTAACCCCGCGCGGGCTACCAGTTTATGACTGAATATCTCACTGGAGCTCATATTTTTACTCGAATTGAATTAACTTTTTGAACAAATGATACTATTCAAATGAAAGTGAAGGAATTAAGAATTCTCATCTCCCCTCCCCCCACCTCCCAATTACTGAATGTTTGTAAATGCAAAATTCATGTCCAATTAGTCATCCTTCTTAATTACAAGCACGTTTAAAATATGGGAAACAAATTGACGAACTTTTAGTTTGGAATAAATAAAGTAATTTGACTAAAATTTGACCAAATCTAATTGCTAATGAATACGCTGCTCTAAGGAGAAATTGCTGAAAAAAATATAAGCCAGTGTAAACTTAAATTTAATTTTTTGACGAATTCCGAGAGAATGTGTAATTAATAGAAGAAATCAAATACATTTCCATTTACTAGGTCAAATTTTAAATTCAATCATGGACATATTTTAAAGGCAATATATTTTCTACTAATCAAGCGATTTTCATAAGAAAAAATATTTCTTTTAAATAAAAATGTAATCAGTTTTAAAATTTAAATTTTAAGTGTAAGAAAACAAATTGAAGCATATTTTTCCTCTAAAACCCCTGATCAACGTAAAATCCCATTGTCCTTTAAGTATTTTAAACCCAGTTACCCTATTTTTAATTTCATCGAAAAATGACAATAATTAAAATCATCTATTTTTATTTCCCGATGGATGAAAGTGTGTCACTTTTGAGAAAATAACTCTGTCTGCATAGGGCTAGTCATAATTTACTGAGGTCCACAGTATGTTCCTTCTCCAATTTTGTAGTAAAATTTTTTAAAGCTCGAAATGCAACATTTTATTATTCGAATAGCAGTTGATTATTAGAATTTACTATCATTTGTCATTTAAATTTATCTAATCACAGTTTGTGCACTTTGAATATGTCACATCATAAATTAAAATCTCTCAGACAATTAAAAAGCATAAACTTGAAAAAAATGAAAAAAAATGTCAAATAAAAAATTCTAATTTATTATTAACGTAAGTCTGAATTTCATAATGAACTTTGATTTCATTAAAACGCAAGCAAACTAATTAAAGTGAATGGAGGCAAAGAATTCGAAAAAATTCGTTTTTCTTAATTACAGAAAACCATAATTGTAGACCACGAAGTGAAAATTCCTCGAAAATTGAACTCATTACTTCCACCAATGTGCCCTATTATCAGATTATCGATTTCAAGTGGTACTACCAAGATTTCAACAAAAGTCAACGACAAAAAGCAATAAATTCGAAGTCCAGGTGGAGTCGATTCAATTTATTCTCTAAACATCCTGCTTTTCTTATACTCCCACCGTATCTGCCACTTTGCACTATTGTTAAGCTGTTTTCTACCCATCTTCTTACCTTGAGTTACGTAATCATAATAATTTAACTCAAAAGATTTCACTTTCAATTTGTTTCAAATGAAGTATGTCCGGAAAATCGAAAGCAAAATACGTACCAGAAACGCATTGTAGAAGTCCAGTGACTTGGAAGATACTGCGTCCACATACCTCCCTCTTACATGGCGACAAAAATACGAACCACTGAGCAAGAAGAAGAACGCCTGAACCTATCATTAGGAAAATACTACCGACCCAAGACGCTGCATTCGATCCTGCCGGCTTTTGGCCCCCACCCCATAATGACGTACGACAATGGACACGAGCTCCATTATTATTCCCAAGAGTCCATAGAATAGATCTTGCAGGCGAATGACCGGGACAGGCAGTCTCACAGCTGAATATTGGTCCTAATGTCGGCGGTGAATATATAATGGGTTCAGGCGAAAGTTGATTAAGAGTGGTTAGACAGTTGGTCTCCCAGAGCTGAGAGTCCTGATTTTCTATTCGTCGTAGCCACCCGCTTGAGAAGAAGAGACTGATGAAAATAAAGGCTAGAGATGAGGTAGAGAATAGCATCCATAGTAAAGAAGTTGCACTGACTACTATTCGCCTCATTTTGGTGTGGAATGGAAAGTGCTAATAACGTCGCCACGGACAATGTGTCTGAAGCATTAACACACGCACGTGCGTTGCGGTGCGCACGTGTGAATAAATGCGCAAGCAAGCCTTTTATTGGCTAGTTGGATTCGAAGATTGTGTGCTAGTCGGAGGTGACTTTAAACTCCAAAACAAATTCTGAGTTCGATTTTTTAGAAGATGGACATTAAAAGGCACTTTAATAGGCTTTGCACGACTTTATATAAGGCATCGACAATTCGGGAAAAGAATCAATCAAACTATGGCATTTAACAAAATTTAATTTGCATTATATACGTGAATGTCAATTGTTTCTCGTAAGTGATATTTGCCGTAGATTATTTTTTGCTAGAATTGAGATATTGTCTTCTTGAGCTAAGTAAACATTTACTGAAATATCACAGATAAGAGCTGGGAATTTATTGGTCATTCAGTAAATTTTCATGTTTCATTCAGAATTCGTGCTTATTTTTTTAATTGTCTCGATCATTCGCTCCTGTGACGGTTTCTCGAAATCTTTGAAATTGGTTCACAAATAAATAAATAATTTAGAACCACTTAAACGTTGGTAATAAACACTTGGTAAATTTTAATAATCAATCAAAAGGAGGCATATAGTATTTAATTTCATTGAACTGAAAGCCTATATTAACCACTCATTGTGAAAGAAAGTTCAAAAGTTCAAAAAGTAATTTTAATTATCTCCCATACACACTGAAAATTATAACTATATTTTCGAAGTATTTAATTGAACACAATATTCAAGAATTTGTTAAAGAATATAAACAAACAGAAATATTTAATAATTACTTTTGAAGAAGAACTTGCATACATTGTTTATTTTTGGTAGTTTCAGTTCATGGGAAAGCTCTGAAAGTGTACTGCCAAAAAACATGAAATATCGAAACAAATTTTTATTTCGAATCGACGTAATCCAAGTTTTTTAGAATGAAAAAATAGTTGAAAAATTTTAAACTGAAATTAATTATCATTGGAATCAAAACACCGATTTCCCCTTTGTTACAAAAATCTTGTCCTCTTTTAGTCAATTTAACTCTTCACATAAGGCTGTCATTTTAATATCTCAAAATACCCTCGGTTTAAATTTATAACAGCGCATTAAAATTCTTAATTTCATTTTAAACGTAGTTGGAGAAATCTAAGCCCCCTTCCTAAAATAGTTATATTGCACATTACATTAGCTTGAATTTGAATTTAGTCTATTTACCGGATAATCGAATTTATCTATTAAAAAATTCGCATAAAGACATCTCGGAAATTAGCCCATATTTAGGTAAGTTGATAATCTGATTGGTGGTAGGGATTTCACTTATATGAATTTAGTAAAATTAACTCATTTATGGTCTCAACTTATCCTCGTATCATAAATAGACCTTTCCTAGTCGAGTTTTGTATTCAAATTGCTCATGGAAATTATATTAACATTTTTGAAATAGCCAAGCTTACTTCCGTAGTCTGCAAATATTTAAAAAACAATTTGAGACATCATGCGGATGTCATGACTCTGCAATAAAGCTTATGGAGATTGAGATGTTTGCACTCGATTGAATCATCCAAGGTTTTTTAACATTTTCAATTCAAGTTAATGCCTTGTACACGGCGTTCTGTGAATTACTCAACCTTAAGCTTTTGGTTTCATTGCCTCAAAGTTACTTAACTGTTACCCAATCTGCGCCATAACCACTCTTCAGTCAGCTGATTGAGAAACGGATAAATACTATCTGTTCAAATCTGCTTTAAATTCCTGCTCATCATACCACCTCCTCTCATTTTCCCATCGCTGTTATCTTGTCTATTTGCCGTTGGGAAGGATTTTATTGTTTTTATTTTTGTTTCAAATGGCAGGCGTTTTGATAGTTATTATTAGCTCTTTAGTTGACTTCGGGCTTTTCAGAGGGGAGGAACAGGCAAAGTAAGACAAATTCGAGAAGGGGAATGGAAGAGGGATTCACAGACTTAAAAGAGACACACAGACACAAAGAGAGAGAAATGGTAAGATGAGCACCGTGAAAGTGGTCGACTATGGACAAAGGTGAGGTGAGTACTGTAAAAATAGTCGAATATGATATACAGTGGGGTCATGGTAGTTTGAAGTGAGAAGTCAACTACCGATTGACGACCCGAATATGACATAGAGAAGTCAACTGCCAGTTAATAGATCATGGTAGTTTGAAGTGAGAAGTCAACTACCGATTGACAGACTTTTTGTCGTATGAGTATACGTTGCCCAGGGTGCACCACGTGAAGGTAAGTCTATCGCACACCCCACCGTTGGGAAGGATAGTGGCTTTGTAACTTTCCTCTGTCTTACATTCACGCAACTCTGTGCTGATGACAACATAGCATAACAGATTTACGTAAACTGGAATCAAGCAAAGCACATACGCACATCGTAAGCATTTTACCACATTTATCAATATGACTTGTGGTACGATACTCGTCTGTTCGGGTAACAACCAAACAACGCCCCCCCCCCTCCCTTAGAATTAGGCATTTTAAGAAGTCAAAGCCACTAAATGGCGATGTTTATGAAGATTTTCTTTAACTTTTACCCGAAGCTTACTTTGCCAAGTTAAAAGGAAGAGCAGTCAATCACCTGTAATATTTGCTTTAAATTGCAATTCACTCAACAGTTAGTGCCCATCATTGCTTAGGGTGTTTCTAGTTACTAAATTAAAAAAAAACTCGTGTTAGTGTAGTGTTTTATTCTGTTGAAAGTTTGGATACAATTCACTGATTAACCCTTGCGAAGGGTTGTACTCCGTCATAGGTATTAATTAAGACGATAAGTAACTGATTGAGAGTTGGAGGGGGATTGGGAGGGGGGGTGGTGTCACGCCCACAATGCTCATCCACTTTGAGATAGCCAATTTCTGACAGTATTATGCCAAATTAATCTCACTTGTGAAGAATGTGACAGTGAGAGTAAAAACACAATTTAAAAAATGAACTACATCCATGAAGGCCAATTTAGCATTCCCCAATTGTCACACAAGCATATAAACAGAGATGAACTTCCAGAGTACCCTGAATTTAAAAATAACCTAGAAATGCATACCGCCTCCCCTCCCCACCCCCCCCCCCCCCCTACTTGCCAAGAAGGATTTCATACTCATATGTTATGGGGTGCGCGATAGACTTACCTCCACGTGGTGCACCCTGTGCAACGTATACTCATACGGCAAAAACAGTCTATTAACCGGCAGTTGACTTCTGACTTCAAACTACCACGACCCCCCTGGTTGTCATATTCGACCCCTACCACAGTACTCACCTTACCTTTTTCTCTACCTTTGTGTCTGTCTGCCTCGTTTACATCCGTGAATCGCTCTTCTCTTCCCCACCCCTCGACTTTCTGCTACTTTGATGAACCTTCCCTCTGTGAAGCCCGAAGTCAGCTAAATGGCTAATGATATCTATCAAAACCCCTGTCATTTGAAATAAATAAATAAATAAATACTCATATTTTATTATCATTTCTCTTCATAAACCCCCACTTCGAAATCGTATTTTAAGACAAATAATAACTGCACAATTTTGATTGGTCAAACAGAATGGGTATAAACCATGGAATAAGCTAGCATTATTTCTTTAAACGTAAAGAGATTTACTTGACGAGTATAATTGGCGAGATAAAATTGGACACTAAAGAATTTAACTAATATTTTATGGTAATTTTGGTATCTAAGTCAAGTCGAGTCGTTTTATTAAGTGGACCACACAGACTGCTACGAATTCTCATGTTACTAATCTAGCTATAAACAAATTAATGCCAGTCTTCTCCGTTTCCACTGCGTGGGACATTTGTCGTTAAATCCGTAAATGACTCATCTTAATGACCCTGAGGTCATCAAGTCAGTTAGTAGGAAAGTCGCGTGGCATGAGAGGAAATTAAACCTTAAATGAGAGGATTATTAGGACGCGACATTGACAAGGTGGGGTCGAATTGGAATGGATAAAACCGGGAGCATTCCATCGCCTAGCACTAATGAGCCTTTCTATTTACAAACAACTTTTGGAGTAACGCGGAACATTATGCAATTCAATCCATTAATAAATTATTTTAATAACGAAAAGGAACTTATTGTAAAGGGGGCAGAGTTCTATCTGTGGTTCAAATCAACTATCATATTAGGGGGTCAATGCATGAACTAAAAACGAGATCATATTGTGAATAGCTCATAAAGTTGCTTTCTAACGAGTGGTTTAAATGACCAGCCCCTTATGATAGCATAACCTTGAGTTAACTTACGATTTTCAATATCCATGTCTCGTTTTCGGAGAGGTAGAGCTGAATTCATGCAAAGCAATTAAGGTTATGCTTTTATATTATTGAAATTTCCTGCCCCCGTTAAGGAAAGCGTTTGGGGAAGCTCACCTTAGACAGAGAATGTAATCAAATACAGGACTTAATCATTTGCGGTTGGCTACTCCGCTCACGTAATGTTCATCTCTAGCATGCCAGACGTGTCCAGTGAACGATATGCTTTAAAAGGACCGTACATTCGATCGCGAATTGAGCAGTGTACTGATAAGCGCCACCCCATTTCACCCTCAGTGCTTTTTGCAGACATGTTTTCTTCGCGTGTTCCATATCCACTTTCATGAACACTAACTAAAACAATATATCAGTTCCTACCCCCCCCCCTCACCATCCTCACAGTCCTTATGTGCCTATATTTTGGGAGGTTTAGCCAATATGGAGGTTAGGTCTAATTGTAAAAGTCACTTGAAAGCTGCGAAAATTCTAAAAGGGAGCTTTAAGCAAATTTTTTTAAAAAAAATTGGCAATTGCGAAAAGTCAAACCTTCCTTGCCTGACCAAGCGGGCTGAAGTATTTAAGGCAAACTTCAAAAGTTTTAAACATTAATTCACACAAAATTTAAAGCACACAGAAAAATATATGCTTACGTGTGGAAAAAATGAGCCAAGTTAACAATTTATCCACAGAGTAATGA